GGGCTAGTCATTGAATAGACCAGGAGCATTTGTGTTGTTTCTTTTTCTGTTGAACTTTGTATCATAAACCTCTCATTGTTATTGTGTTTTTACTTTATTTATAGTTACCAGGCAACCTGCGATTTCCTCCAAAAGAATAACTTGCTTTCAATAATCAGAGCACATGAAGCACAGGATGCTGGGTAAGTAACAGGAGTTGTCATCTCCCTGAGTTTTGTCATTGTCCTTTCTAGCATTATTTATTATTCCAGAAGATATTTATGTGACTAAGGACTAGTCACAAGAATCCTTTAATATTTCAAATTGCTAATCAAACATATTGGAACATTCAGGTACCGAATGTACAGGAAAAGTCAAGAAACTGGGTTTCCATCTCTCATCACAATTTTTTCAGCTCCCAATTATCTGGATGTCTACAATAACAAAGGTTTGTAAGACGATAACAGGTGAACTTCAAGTTGAGAAACTGCTTGCCATACTTTTCCATGAATATGAATTTATTGACTTGTTTATATTTTCAGCTGCGGTATTGAAATATGAAAATAATGTGATGAATATCCGACAGTTCAACTGTTCTCCTCATCCTTACTGGCTTCCAAATTTTATGGATGTTTTTACATGGTCTTTGCCGTTTGTTGGTGAGAAAGGTGAGTCTTGTATTGCCGAAATTTTTACACTTGTTGATGATGCATTGTCATTACTTTCACATTGCTTCTCTTCACTCTGTGGGATGAATGGATTTTGGTGAACTGTCAGTGAACTTTAAAAAATGCTTGTAGGTATCTGCTGTGGAGTAGTATCCCAACTGGGGTGGTAGATAGAACCTGAAAGGGTTGTCACTAAGTGCTGGCTGCCAGAAAAATTTGGTGGACAATAAAGCAGTGATCATAGGCTGGACTTTTTGCTATAAAGCTATGCACTCACAGTTGTACGATATCAAATGCTACAGTTTCACTGAAAAGTTTGAAATTTTTGTCTTATGAACTGGAGTGTTAGGAACCACAAGCACAATAGTTGAATTAAGAGATTGTTTTGAACACTTGTTTACTCTGACTGGTTTCCCTTTATTGCATCTACCATTTTGTAAACAGGAAGCTTAGTAGCCTTACATTCAAAGCATTGCAAAAGACAGTTCAACTGAATTTTCAGCCACCAGCTTAATTTCATAGCTACAACCTTACCTCTAACCATTTCATGCTATGAAAATTGGGTTAAACTCCAGAATTGTGAGTCAGAAATGACCTAAGAGGTTACATAACCTTAAGCTGTGTTTCTTACCTCCTCTTGTTTTGTTTTCAGTCACCGAAATGCTTGTGAATATTCTTAATATTTGCACTGATGAAGAACTTGAAGGAGAGGAAGATGAAGAACAAAGTGAAGCCATCAAAAGGAAAGAAGTCATACGCAGCAAAATACGAGCCATTGGTAAAATGGCAAGAGTGTTCACTGTGCTCAGGTACTTTGTGAAACAATTTTCTTTAGTGAAACACTTGGTTTACTTTTTGACCAAATGTTTTCAACAGCTTTTGAATTCGTACAGGTAATATCATGATTCTGACTGCAATGTGGTGTCGATAAGTGCAAGTAGTGCTAATTACACCAAATTGCATGAGAAATCATGTTATTACTGGTTAAAAATGTACATGAAAAAATATCGCAGAAAGTTAAGACAAACATGCCCAATTTGTAATATGCACTCATGTTACAACTTTGCACTCATGTTACATAAGAATGCACACATTTTCAGCCAATCAGAAGCACTTTTTTATTTTCATGTTTATTATTAAAATAATAAGAGAATTCATACGATGTATACTTGCATTTCTCCTATTGCTTAATGTTTTTTTTTTTTTTTTCGGTTTGGTGCAGTTTTGGATCATCTCCAAGGGACTATTTTGTGGTTTATGCATTTTGAAAAAATTGGCAGAAACTGTATTAGTTATTTGTTTGCAATGTGTAATAGGGTGATGGCAAACTGTCAGGGGAGTGGTAAATGCAACTTGTGATGGATTTGAATTCCATCCAGGGGATCCAGGGTTAATCACTTTGTCCATCTGAAACAATGGATTGAAGTAGTGGGTATTTATGAGCCTTCCAGTACTAAGACTTACATGTAAGAAGATAGCTATGCACTTTGAAGCTATTCATTTCTTGGTATCTTGTAGCTCATTATGTTAATCAGCTGTATTTGTGTTCTAGAGAGGAAAGTGAGAGTGTGGTGCAACTGAAAGGACTCACTCCTTCAGGACACTTGCCTGTTGGACTTCTGTCTGGTGGCAAACAAGGGCTTCAGAGTGGTAAGCTGTGTTAAATTTTCTTCTTTAAATTTGGTTCAAATTTTTAACATAACATGTGCTGAACCTGAAAAAGCTCATTTTTGAACCACATACATTGTTGTAGCTTTGATAGTTTTATATTTGGGTTGATCTGCTGCTCTGTCAAACTGGACTATTTTAATGGGACAGTTATGAGTGAGCTGGACTTTTTATGGTGTGATGCGAATGTGGGCAATGTGTTGATGTATCAGCTAATATAAAAAGGTCTTTGACTGGCCAAAAAGACAATCTAGATGCAAGGTCTGTTGAACTTTAACATATTCCAACAGAATATGTTATCCTTAAGGAAAAAGGATCACTCTGAATGCATGTTTACGATGCCCCTGAGCATTTTTTTCTTTTTTATAATCTTTTCTTTAGCTTTACAAGGGCAAGTATTTAGCCCCAATCACAAAATCAGTGGCTTTGCTGAAGCCAAGGGACTTGACCAGGTGAATGAAAGAATGCCACCCAGGAAGGACTTACCAGTACAACCAGGGACAAAGTGATACCACAGACAGACCAAACATTCCCAAACCTTGGAGACTCATCATCAACCATTAGTATTGTAGTATAATATTATTATTACCTATGTGAATATCTGTATAAAATAGTAAAATCTGCTTTACAAAAAGCTCACTAATAAACAATGTTTGGATGTAATATTTAAGTAAAATTTGTGTTGCAATGATGACTAGGTTAGCCCCTTCCTTTTCGTGCTGGCATTTTCTGGTAGGTTGGCTCAGCATAGAAAGTGATAAAGAACTATGGAGCTCTGTTCTGTGGTATTCCTGTCTTTTGGGATGTCCCAGTGGCTAGTATGTAATCATTTCTGCTCCAATCATTCATACAAACTCCAAGGCTATGATTTCCTGGTATATAATTATACAGTGTATAAATCATATCTATTGTAGGTAGGATGTGGAGATGACTTCGTTCAATTTTGTTTTTTATTTCATTTTAAGGTGGCTATATTTTCACCTACTCAGCCTAAAGACCATAATACTGATTCTCTTCCCAGATTTCTGTACAAAAACTATCTCATGCTGTAAGAATTTGTGGTAAATCAGACAATATCCCCTTGTTGCTTATAAAATAAGTTTGCCATTATAGTGTCCTAGAATGTAAAATTTATTGAGAAATTGTGGGTTTTGATTGTAATTTTTTGTATTTATATGCTTTGAAATTTGTCTTCTGGAAAGGAGAATTTTTTCCACCACTAGTTTTAAATCTTTACAAGGCAATATTCACGTGGCTGTTATATGGAAAAGAAATGCTGCTCATGGAGATATGTGTGACAGTAGTGGTGAGTGTGGCCCCCCTGTCTATAAAGGGAGAAACTTTGTTTTGATCTCATAAGCCAGGTACCTCTATCAACTCTTTAACTACCAAGATCTGATTGTCAATTCTCCCTCCCAGCTGTAACAAATTTCCTTGTGAATTAGTTTTGAGAATTTGGTGTTAGATCAAGAGAACTTCACTTGGAGCCTGACAAATCGGAGTATTTTCATTATCTGTTTGTTAGGTTATGTACAGATATTTTAGGGAGAGGTTACATGTTCATCATCTCTGGGAATTAAAAAGCTAAGTGACTAGTCAAGACTTTTATTTATGGAAAATCCTCCAACAGTTTGCTACTCGCAGTTTCTTTGATCACATCGTCCATATAATTTTGAGATTTGTTGGATACTTGTATAAAAAAGAAATGACACTTTGTTTCCAGATATAATCATAAATAAGTGATTTCAGAGCTTAAATTGAAATCTCAATCATCATCCCTGAAATTAAGCTTCAAGACAGTATGGAAACAGCTGCCCACTATTTAGCAAATACAATTTTCCACGTCAAGTCCTCCTGTGTATTATGTTTTTAATCGTGGAAGAGTAAATATGTTTTGTGAATGTTATGCCTGATGGGAGACGATCTATGCTTGCTTATATAAAGCTTTATGGCCCAAAAAATAGTTGTAACGGAATTATGTAATGTAGGCGTAGACATTTTATTTATGATTTTAAAGCGAAGTAAAACTATAAGTAACTGGTTTGAATTAAATATCTTATGATGAAGAAAATATTGTTATTACATCCATAATTGATTGTATCCTTCTCTAAGTTGTTGATATCAGAGGGCGATTTCAGAAACTTCATTTAATCACGATGGTATCAGTAACGAACCGTCGAGGACCATGAAGCGAGACACCGACAAATGTCACGTTGTATTTAAGCGAGCGAACTGAGTAAAAGCGAAACGAAAATGATAATAAGCGTACACCATCCTCTGCGTGCCTTGATGAAGAGTAGCTCTAAAAAATGGTAGATGCATTTGATCGATTATTTTTACTTGCGCTCATTTCACCTTCACTAAAGTCTTCGCCACTT